TCTTTACTCACCACCCTAGTCCCCCAGGGGCCTGACTCAGGAGAAGTGGTAGCCGGGCAGGATCCCCTCCTCAGTTCTTTACTCCCTGCTCCTGTGCCACCCTCTTCCTCCCGTGGTCCCTGCTGGAAGCCTTCTTAAAGGACACATGGCCCTATCACCTCTCTGCTTATAACCCTTCCATGGCACTGCCTTCCATGAAGGAGTCCAGGGGTTTTGCTGTGGCCTACATGGCCCTTCATGCCCAGCCCTAGCCATGTCCCCAGCCTCACCTTACCCCCACCCCCCAATCCAGTCTTGGGCATTCTGTACACTTGGCGCTTCCTGCTGGGTACATCATGCTCCAGGCCTTTGCTTAGGCTACTCCACCTGCCTGGAACTTTGGCCCTTTCAACTGACTTCACCATCTCCTCATCCTTTCAGATGGTGACTCCTCCAGGAAGTCCTCCCTGACTGTCTTCCGTTTTTTTCAGACTATAGAAGCTAAAGGGGGAGCTCTGGTGGCATAGTGCCTAAGGCATTTGACTGCTAACCAGAAGGCTAGTGGTTCAAACCCAGCAGCCATTCCTTGGAAGGAAGGCTGGGCAATCTACTTCCATAGTGATACGGCCTCGGAAAACCAAGAAGGGGTCTCTATGAATCGGATCCTACTGGATGGCATTGAGTTTGATTTTTTTAAAAAACATTTTTTATATAGGCTCTAAGAAGGAGCTCTGGTGGTGTAATGAGTAAGGCATTTGACTGCTAACCAGAAGTTCAGCGGTTCAAACCCACCCGCTGCTCCATGGGTGAAAAATGAGTCATTCTATTTCCATAAAGATTTATAACCTTGGAAACTCAATATGGGTCTCTATGAGCTGGAATTGACTCTATGGCAGTGGGTTTGGTTTTGTTTGGTATAGGCTGTAAGAGGGTAGGACCCATGTGTGGTTTATTAAGTGTTTCCAGAGACCAACACTCAATAAATGTTACTAAAAGAATGAAACAATAACCTCTCTGGGCTTCCCATTTCTTATCTGTATAAATAAAAATACTACTTCTTGACACACACAAGTGCTAAGGAGTGTTGTAGGTGATGAGGTATGTAAATTTCTTATCATTGTGCTGGACATAAGGAGCTCTAGTGGTGCAGGGGTTAAAGCATTGGGCTGCTAACCAAAAGGTGGTGGTTCCAACCTAACAGCTGCTCCGTGAGAGAAAGATGAGACAATCTGCTTCTGTAAAGATTTATAGCCTTGGAAACCCAATGGGGAAGTTCTACTCTCCTGTGGGGCTGCTATGAGTCAGAATTGACTCAACGGTAGTGTGTTTGGTTTTTTCTGGCTTTAGTGCTGGACATATAATAGATGCTCCAGAGACATAATTCTCATTTTCCTGCCCTTTAATGCTGATGGGTACACACTCCTGTTTAAAAACTCTGTATATTTTTTGCAGTTCTTTTGGTCCCTGTTATGGATTGAATTGTGCCCCCCACCCTAATGTGTTGGAATCCTAACCCCTATACATGTAGAAGGAGTTCTGGTGGCCTAGTGCCTCAGGCATTTGACTGCTATCCAGAAGGATGGCGGTTCAAACCCACCAGCTACTCCTTGGAAGGAAGGTTGGGCAATCTACTTCCATAGTGATACCACCTGGGAAACCCAAGGAGGGGTTGCTATGAGTCAAAATCGACTCATGGCAGTGAGTTTTGTGTTTTTATACACGTAGATGTGATTCTATTTGGGAACAGAGCTTTGTGATGTTAATGTGGCCATATCGTTAGGGAGTGTCCTTAACTAATCGCTGCTGAGTGTCTTATGGAGCAGCAAAGACACAGAGACAAACCAGCACAAATGGGGGAAGATGGTGCCACATGAAGATTGCCAAGAAACTGAGGAACACCAGGGCTACAGAAGCTGAGGCAAGAATCTTCCCCTGGTACTGAGAGAGAGAGAGAGAGAGAGAGAGAGAAAACCTTCCCCTAGAGCTGGTGCCCTCCTGAATTCGGACTTCTAGCTCCCCAACCCGTGAGATAATAAATTTCTGTTCGTTAAAGCCACCCAGTGGTGGTATTTCTTTTATAGCAGCACTCAGAAACTAAGACAGCCCCAAAGCATGGCTGCCTTCCTTTTGCTCAGGTCTCTGTTCCTGAGACATTCCTTCACCCCTGCATCCTTTCTTCTCTGTAGTGGTTATGTTTGTGTGTCAACTTGGCTGGGCCTGGTTGAATGGTTGGGCAGCTGGTGGTAGTTATTCCCCATAATGAGACTAGCAATCAACTCTGTGGTTGGATCTACCACAAACAGCTGAGTAGCTGCTTTGGGTATGTGGTCCGCTTCCCATATATAAGAAGCAGCTTTGAGAATGGTCTCTAGCTTATGGCACGCTTGGACTCTGCGTGTAGCCGTGTCGTTCAGCAGCCTGCCATGCTCTGCCGACCTGGGGACTTACAATGGACTTAAATTAATGGCCTGCTGTGTGGTCTGGTAACATCAGGACTGTGCCATTTTGTTTGTCAACCTTGGGCTTCTCAGCCTCAGCAGCTAGTAGCTGTCTGAGTGAAGAAATGCCTCTAGCTTCTGTGGGCTGGGAGCTGGAGGCAGAGCTGAAGCCTAAGGCTGAGGGGCTTTCACTCAGCCCCTAGAGCCTGGCACTTTGAACTTGGACTTAAAGCCTCCAAATTTTAAGAATAAACTCCTGTTGTTCAAGCCATCCCATTTGTGGTATATTCTTGTCAGAGCGGCACTAGGTAACCAGAACACTCTCCATGTAAAATAGCCCCCATACACTCCAGCACTCTAATATTTGCCTTATTACGACCTAAACTATTATTATTTTCATTTGCTGATGTCTCTTTCTCCCTAGAACTGTGAGAACTGTGAGGGCAGCAACCTTGGCTGTTGCTGTAGCCTCAGTGCCTAGAGTTGTATCTGGAATGCGGCAATCTCGAAGTTTCCAGGGCCAAGGCTGTGAAGGAAGTTTCTGGTTTGGGAGTGAGGAGTTATATGCAGCTGCAACTTTGGACCCAGATCCCTGCCTGGCCTCTGGCTGGGTCAGCCCACTGTTCAAAGGACTCTCTCCCCTACCACCTCAAGCCCCACTTGCCCCTCTGCCCTGCTTCCTCAACTTAAGGAGCTCCAAAATTACTGCCTCATTCTCTGAACTGTCAGCAACCCTTGCCTAGAGCTCCCAGCTCTCTGAGAGACGAGAATATTTGAGCAGGAAGAGATTTCAGAGTCTGGAGGTTTGTGAAGTGTGTCTGGAAGGATTGGTCTGAGTACATGTGCATGTGTGCAAATGCCCATGCGTGATAGACTAAATTTTGGGGTTCTGGGCTCCCACCCCTATTTTTACCATAGAACTCAAACTTTTCTCTTTGTTGCCTATGGAGTTTCCATATAAGTTTTTTTTTTTTTTTTTTTTTTTTCAATTGAGATTTGGATGAAAGTATACAGAGGAAATTCACGTTTCATACAGCAGTTCACATACACTTTTTTTTTTTTTTAAATAAAAGATACATTACTTTTAAAAAGAAAAAGATGTGAAAATCACAAAACTAGACACAATCCATCATTTTACATATGGGGAAATTGAGGCCCAGAGGGGCAAATAGCTAGTTTATAAATAAAAGGCACAGTGGGATCAGTGGCAGAACTGGTGCTGTTCCCAGCCGCCTGGCTCCCAAGCTGATGTTTTTGCCAGGACCAGGCCAAAATGTCACTCTCAGGAGGTGGAAGGTGGGGGCAGAGTGCCAGGGAGGCCCTGTCCAAAGACGTGGGTTAAGGTCATAGCCTCCTCATCTTGTGCACCCCACTCTGAAGTTGCTAGGAGAGTAAGTGCACTGGGAAAGTCACTTAGTTCTTCACTGGCAGCTGGGAGGTTTTGGAGTAGGAAGGGGCTGGGGCAGGGAGGAAGAGTGAAGTAGGGGAGTGGGGGACAGAGACTCATCCTCTGGGTCACTTACACCCCTTTCCCTAAAGCATCAAATGATGCCTTCCAGTTTGAGACCGTTTCTACATTTCCCCACAGTCACCCTGGCAAGTCTCCCCAACTGAGGAGCTCCTGTCGACCTTGATGGACAGGAGTCCATCAGGCAACCCCAGAAGAGCCCCTGTCCCACTGGGAGCAGTCCCCACCCCAAGCACCTGACTTCAAAGCCTGCACCCTCCACTGGGGTGAGAGAGGCAGAGGGAGCTGTTGTCCAGGCTTCAGGGGTCTGGGTGTCTCTGAGGTGATGATTTCTGGGGCAAGAAGGTTATGAAAGAGGGTTTCTGTTTCAGGGGTTTTGTGGACACTTCTATGTTCAGTGACAGCAGGAATACCACAGGAACGGGCTCTGTGTCATTCACTCTGCGACCCCCACCAGCACCTAGCTGGGCACTCCATAAAATGCTATTGAATGAATGGATTGTGTCCCTCTTCCTCCAGTCCCTCCACAGTCACCAGCCGCACCCTATCCCTACCCTTGTCCTTTAGCGACTATAAGGACTGAGTTATTCTTAGTAGATTTCATTCATCAAAGCATGACAAACGGTGTCCTGGGAAGAATGCCTGGGCACTGGGCAGGAAGCCAGAGGAAGGGATGAGGTGCTTAGGCCCTATGTGCAGGAAAAATCCTTTGCCTTAAAGAAGCCCTAACTGATGGGGGAGACAGCTCTTGCCTTCAGAGACCTTTCAGTCTGATGGAGGTGAGACAGCCCGTGACCTCAGGAGCCCCAGTCTGAGGGTGGAGACACAGTCCTGCCCTATGATGGAGGATCCTCCCCCTCCTATTCACCCTGAGAGATTCCAGCCTAAAGGGAGAGAGAGAATTTTCTGCCCTCAAGGAACTTCTAATCTCATGGTAGAAAAATAGCTTTCATTCTTGCTGGAAAATATATGGTGCATATCCAAGGTATAGACTGAAACTCAAGATGAAAAACGGAGTCTCAAGAGAAGCATCCAGAAGCATGTGGAACTTCTACTGTCCCCACACGTGGGAGCCTACAGATGATAGAGGAGCTCCCAGGGCCACTCTGTTAGACTCACTTGCCAAGAAACAGCATAAAGACCACAAAGGTGTAGCAATAGCACAGATCCTAGAGTAAAGGCACAGGCAAGTGAGCTGGTCTAAAGCAGGGGTTTCAAACTCCTTTGGGAAATAGTATGGTTGGTCACACAGGGAGCAAATGGGAGATCCCACACTGTCTGTAGGCTTTTACCTTCAATATAAAAATCACATGCTTGAGTTCCTGGGTGGGGTGCAGACAATTAAGCACACCACTACCAGCCAGAAGATCGGCAGTTGGAACCCACCCAGAGGCACCTTGGAAGACAGGCCTGGCAATTTGCTTCTGAAAGGTCACAGCCTTGAAAACCCTGTGGAGCAGTTCTACTCTGCACACTTCCCGCAGTCACCAGTTGAAGTGGACTCAATGGCAACTAACCACCTAGTAAAAACAAACAAACAAATAAAACCCCACATACTGATTACAGGCCAAACAAAACCTCACTAAAGATTGAGCCGGGTCTACAGGCCACGAGTTTGCTGCATCCAGGAACTCAAGGAAGAATTTCTGAAAGACAAATCTGAGCCTGGTTTGGATGAAGACGGTCCCCTTAGTGCTGGCCTCCAGGCCTGGTTTCTTGGACCTCCTCCCACCCTTCCTGGGATGGGATCCTGAGCTACCCCACTGCTCACCAGCTCCAACAGGCCTCAGCATCCCTGTCAACGAAATGGGTCCCTGCCTTCCTCCCAAGTTCCTTCCATGATAGAAATCTGTGAGGACTACAGGTTTAGGGGTGGGGAGAGGCCAGCTTCTTCACTTTCAGACAGGGGATTCCCTCCCCCCAAATCCTGCACCTCCCTCCGGAGGTGAGACCTCACATGTCTAGCCTGGGACTGAGGGACAATCTCAGAGAGAGGCAGGCAGCAGCAGTGGGCGGGTTTCAGGAGCAGGGAGGGGCGGCCTAATTACTGCGCGCGTTGGCCCAGCGCCCCCGAGCGCCACGGATGACAGCGGCGGTAGGTAATTAGACCATTGGGTAATTAGAGCGCATTAGCCATGGCCCTAAAGGAGCCCTGGTGGCAAAGTGGTTACAAGTACTCAGCTGCTAACCGAAAGGTTGGCTGTTCAAACCGACCAACTGCTCTGGGGAGAAAGATGTGGCAGTCTGCTCTGTAAAGATCACAGCCTTGGTCCTATAGGGTCACGTATAAGTAGGAACTACTACTACTCGAGGGCAATTTTTTTTTTTTTTTTTTTTGGTTAGCTGTGTCCCTGCAATCCTTTAATTTCTCTGCTCGCTCTGGGTGTGTTGTAGGAGGTGAAGCGATGCAGGCTGGGCTGAGTCAGACTCTTGAAAGCCCAGCTGGGAACGCAGGGGGCCGCAGAGGCTGTGAAGGGACTCCCGCCGTGGGAGGCGCTGGCGCCAGCCTCTCGAGAGGATTCACCCCTCCCGGAGTCCTTGCAGTGCGTCCCTCTACCCCGGACAGAAGAGTGTCGGGACTGCAGGCGGGCAAGGAGAGAGCGGGCCTGTGCCTCCTCCGCCTCCAGGGGGCGCTCCTCCAGCCTCGCTGATCCTCCCGGGCCTCGAGGCCAGTCCAAAGCACCCAGCCTTGTGGTCCTGCCCCCTAAATGCAGGTGGACTGAAAGAGAGGTGCAAGCGCAACTGGCGGGGAGAGACCTTCCAAATACCAAATGTACCAGAGAATCAGGGATGGGCAACAGATCTAGGCCAGCATAGGACAAAAAGAAGACAGCAGAAGGGAGTGGGAGTGGAGCTCTCCTTCGAGCTGAGCCCTGAAATCAATTCCGGCGAGCGGGGAGGAGCCAGCAGGGGGCTGGGGCTGGGAGGGGAGTTTATTTATTAGCCAGATTAGCCAGTATTAATGGGGGAGTGGAGGTGGCCGGCGGCGGCGGGGACATTGCTGGCATAACTGGCATAGCGGCGGGGCCTCCCGCGGCGCGGGGCTCTGCCGGCTTCAAAGGGGCTTAGAGAGGCCGATGGTGGCACTGCCACTGCCCCACCAGGGAGGACGTGAGCGCGGGCGGCGGGGGAGAAGGCGGCCATTGTGCACGAAGGGATTAGGGATCTGGCCTGGAAAGAATTTTAAATTGCTGCTAGCTGGCACCCCAGGACTACCCTCCCGCCTCACTCCTGCTCTCCTCAGCACTTTGAGATATTTACCTGCATTTCTGTGTCTGAGGGTCCTCTTCTCTCCCTTAGGGTAGCCAGATTTGGCAAAGGCAAATACAGGATGTCCAGTTAAATTTGAATTCCAGGTAAACTACAAATACTTTTTTATTTTTGTAGTACAACTATGTCCCAAATATTGTATGGGGCATACTTACACTAAAATATTATTTGTTGTTTATCTGAAATTAAAATTTGAGTGGGCATCCTATATTTTTTCTGGCAACCTTGCTCCCCCCCCCATTGGGAGATCCCAAAAGTCCAGCGTGTGTCCCCCAAATTTGGAAGATCCTTGAGGACAATTCCCAAGTCTCATCTGACGGGAAGTTTCCTGAACCCAGAGGCTGTGTTTCAGGAAGTACAGTGTTTCCTCCATCAGACTGGGAACTTCCTGAGGAGAGTAGCTGAATTTCACACATCAGAACACAGTGCTGAGCAGAGTCTATGTCACTTTCTTCAGACTGTGCCTCCCTGAGCGCAAGTCAGTCTCTTTCGTCCCCCACTCCAAGCTGTTAGAGTGTGGTCCCCCTAACTCAGGTGATTCATTTGGCTTCCTGCCCATAGGGGGTGCTACAGGCCCAGAGGACTGACCTCTGGATAGCTGGGTCCTGTCTACTGTGACTCAGTGCTATGGTTCTCTGGGGATGATGCACCTGAGGATTTGGGGGACAGGGTCACCATCCTGTGAGCTTCTGACCAGAACCTGGACCTTGCTTGGGTAGTCAATGACCAGGCCTGTCTTGGCCAAAGTGTGGGAGAAGCTCCAGGTGCTGAGTGCCCACCATTTCTGCCACGAAGGGACAAGTGTGGCCCTTGGTGTAGAATGGCCCTGCCCACCTCCTCTCTCTCCATAACCATGGCAACTCATTCCCACTGCTCCACCAACCTCACTAAACCCCCACTGTTCAGCCTTTGCTTGTGCTGTTCTCTCTGTCTGAAGCACCTTTTCTTCCTGTCTGAAGACAGCTGACATCTGTTTCTCTGGGATGCTCTGGCTGTCCACAGGTTGAGCATGGCCAGGTAGGCTGCTTGTGCCTTCTGGTGAAAACGTACCTCCACTTGCTCCCTCCTTCCCCACCGTCTGTGGTCACAGGGCCAAAGAGAGGGCTAAGAGGGGAGAAGGGAAAGATGGGGTGATGGGGCAGCGTAGGCAGAAGAGGAGAAGGAAGAGAAGCCCCTGCCACTATCTTCCCCTGCAGCCCCCTCCCAAGTTCCCTTATTCTCTCTGGCTTCTGAACTCTCTTTCCTTTGAGCTGAGAGAAGCCCTGGAGAAGCCGTTTCCCACGATCACACCCTCAACATCCCCTCCACCCTCTTTTCTAGAGCTCCTTTTTCCTTTGGCTCAGCCACCTCAGCCTTGCCCTCCCCTCCACAGAGCCACGTGCTCATCCCTGTAGGGCCCCCTCATCAGGCAGCCGCCTGCTTTCGTAAATGGCCTCATCACCCCACTCCTCAGGCCGCCCAGTCATCAGGTCCGCAATTAGCTACTTCCTCCTGGCTGCATGAGGCCACCCGAACGTCATAGCCCCTCCCCAGCCAGCTGCAGCTGGCGGGAATGCTGAGGGATGCCCCCGTCCTTTGTAGTCAGTGCCAAGTGCTGGCGCGACCCCCCAACCTCCTGGGCACTGGAGTAATGGGCCTCTCATTGAGAGAGCCCAGCGCTCCACGGTCCACACCACGAGCCTAGGGGCGGGAGGAGCCGAGCTGCCGCCTTGGCCCTGTATCCCTATCCCATTGGGCGAGAACACTCCCGCTGCCTGGGTGGGGCCATTCAGGCTCAAGGGCATTGGCTGCGTGGGCGGGGTTTGAGACCCGACTCAGGTGTCTCCCCAGTCCCAGGCAGTTTTCACCAGGCCCTCACCTGGGAGCTGAGAGTCTGAACTGAGGCTTGTTGTTGTTGTTATGTGCCGTCGAGTCAAACCCAACTCATAGCGACCCCTCCTTGGGTTTCCGAGGCAGTATCACTACGGAAGTACGATTGCCCAACCTTCCTTCCGAGGAGTGGCTGGTGGGTTTGAACCGCCAGCCGTCTGGTTAGCAGGCAAGTGTCTTAGCCACTATGCTAACTGAGGCTAGTGGCAGGTATTTGGAAAGCGGAGAGAAATAGAGAGCCCCTCTACAGATGCCCAAACACACAGGTGAGTAGATTCACACACCTGTGCCCAGGTACACACCCAGATACCACCTGTGCAATGTACCTGCCACTGCAGCTAAACCCTCATGGGTCCTTGGAGGTGCACCCTTATGCCCACACAAACCCTTCCTCCGGACATGAGCACACAAAACTACGACACACTCAGAGAACACTTCCTCAAACTGTGGGCTTGGAAGTAAGCTCACACACCCAAAACAAAACCAAGGCACCACAGAAGAACCCAGGAAGGTGGGAGAAGATAAGAGAACACTCCAACATTCTCCCTCATCCTGGGTGAGTCCTACCAGAGAAGGGTGGGGGGAAGACTGTAGTGTGAGGCTGTGTATGTGTTGGGAAGGTAGGCATGGTGGGGATTCTGGGGTCTGAGTCTGTGGGGGAGGGTGGGTTGGTTTTCCAGAAAAAATAAAAAAGTCCGACAAACGTAAACAAATCAGGGTAATCTTAGGCAGCTCACTTAATGCCTTGAGACCTCAAAAGGCACATTAAAATGAAGACAATGAGAACACCATTTAAACTTGGTTGTGAAGTTTAAATAAAATAATCCTGCAAGGAGAAGGCTGTGAGCTGACATTACCATTGGAGAGATTCTCCCAGTATCCTGTTGCTTGATGGCAGCTTGTTTAAAAGAGCTACCCTGGGGAGGTAATCAATTGTCCCCTCTGCTCTGCCACTCTGGGCCTTACCTGACCATGTGTTCACCTCTGTCTTTATTTCCAGGGGTCCAGCCCCAGCAAGTTTATGGTACAGAGGGGAAAGGGGTGGCCAGGAATGGCCAGGTACGGGGGGGGGGCATGATTGGATGCCACTGCAGATTGGCCTGAGTGACTGGGCTTGCTCCGCCCCATCTGGTTGGCACAACAGGTAACTCCGGAGGTGTCTCATGGCTTCAAGCCCTGGAAGGGAATGAGTCAGCCAGCGTCTCCCTGCCCAGGCAAAAGGAACACAAAGGACAGAAGCTTGGGTGGAGGGGCCTTCTAGGAACTCTTTCTGAAAGAGGATCTGGGAACCGGACCTGCCTGCAGAAGCCACCATCTCAGCCTCCCAACCTGGGCCCTAGTTTGATAAACACAGAGGTGTTGCATCTTAGAGCCTCCCTCCACCAGCCAGCCCTCTGGGATTAAAGAAACAAGACCCCTATTCAAAGGCAGCAGGGAGCCAGGGGCTGCTGCTACCATCCTGCCTCATTACTCTTCTTAGGCACATCCAGCAGGATCTCCAAGCTGTCACACAGGAATACACATACACACACTTGTATACATGTGCTCGTATACACACACACTTGTATGCAGACACTTATATACACACGTTCATGGCCACACAAGCATAACCAGAGACACCAACACAGACACATTCTCACAAGTACTTGCACATCCACAATCTCAGATATACTTCCTTACACTTATACACACCATACTCATGCATGCTCACAGTTTCACACATACAGTTATTTCCACTTACACACACAAACATGCAGAGTCATAACCACATCAACATATACACTCTTACCAATGAAATGAGTGTATACACAGACACATACACACACAGACACACACACACACGGGGCTGGCTCCAGGCTTAGTGATGAGGTGATGAGTCCTCTTGGAGTCTGCTCTGTCTCTGCCCACCTTCCCCTAGGACTAGTCTAGTGGATCCAGGAAAGTCATGGCCAGGAGCAGGAGCCAATAATTTTAATCCCTCCTTTCCTTACTGAAGTTCTTAACCAAGTGTCCTCCACCCCCATTCCCTGCCCCCAATCAAAATCTGCTTTCAGGAATGTGTTGCCAGGTTTATGTGCACCAAAAGACATGTACAAGAATGCTTGTGGTAGCTATTATCATATGAATTAAAAGGTGGAAATAACCCAACTGTTCATCAACAGTAGAATAAATAAATGTAACATATCTACTCTGTCTTGGTTCTCTAGTGCTTCCATAACAGACATGCCACAAGTGGATGGCTTTAACAAACAGAAATTTATTCTCTTACAGTTTAGGAGGCTAGAAGTCCAAATTCAGAGTGCTGGCTCTAGGGGCTAGGTAAAGGCCCCTTGACCTTGGGCTTCAGCTATACCTCTTATTCTAGGCCCACTGGAGCTAGAGGCATCTCTTAACTCAGGCAGCTGCTGGCTACTGAGGCTGACAAACCTAAGGTCAGCAGGTAAATGGCATAGTCTCAAGATCAGCAAGCAACATGGAAGGCCAGTGAGATGAAGACTTGGCCAAATGTAGGATCCAGATGTGCCAAAAGCTGGAGACCTTTCTCAAATCATCTTCTTATATACTAGAAGTAGACCACACCTAAAAGGGAATTACTTAGCTGCTCACAGCAGATTCTACCATGGAAGTGATTACAATCTCATCATGGGTAATAACTACATCCAGTTGCCTGGGATCTCAAAACCATGGCCTAGTCAAGTTGACACACAACCTTAACTACCACACACTCAATGAAAAAGGAAGAACTAGTTGCTGTATATCCAGCAACAAAACAGGAAAAACTAGTGCTATGTGAACAACATGGATGAAATTTGCAGACATAATGTTGAACAAAAGGAGCCAGACACAAAAGATTGAACACTCTATGATTCTATTTATATGAGGTTCAAAAATGGGTAAAATTAATCTATGGTGGTAAAAGAATGACAGTTACTGCTAAGGGGTGGTATCAATTGGGAGAGGTATGAGAGTGCCTTTTGAGGTGCTGGAAGAATATTCTGTGCTTA